ATATGTCGAAAATGCTGCTTATCGCTCTCCATATTTAAAAGGGCACCAACCGAAAACTACTGCGTAGAATTAATTGAAATTTTTCACACACAAGCCTTGCTATATGAGCTCTCAAAGCATATAAAAATTATACGGCTTAAATTCGAAGTTGGGTGCAAAAGAATACAATTAAATCCTCTGTCGGCAAAAAACGAAATGACTTTCCGAACAACCCTATAGAATCACAGAACCTTTCTAATATCTAATACATTATACCTTTACCATACTTTGACTCCGTAATCATTCAGGATCAATCAAGAATCATTAAATGCGGCGTGCAGTTTCCGTTAGTAACGTAATGGGAGGGACGCGGGAATGGTATACGGTAGCAAATTTCCTCTATACGTGGCAACTACGTCGACCGGCTGATTCCTCCTTAGAGGATATCCAACAAGGACATAATGTCCTTTAAATGGTGCTATTTATCTCGGGTAACATCTGAGTGTGACATTAATGCTATACTCGTGTCGCACTTCTCTCATTTAATATTAGAATTACAGGGACCTCTCGCAGTAACAAAAAAATCAGCAATTTTAAAATATGTACCAGCAGATCCATTTTCTGATGATTTAAAGGGGCCTTATTCTGATATTTAACTGAACTGGAATGTATGTTGTGCAGTATAAATGGTTGATGATGACTTACGATGACTTTACTTGACTAACACACATAAAATAATGCACCAAACCAACAATCATCGGACACAGAGTTGCACCACGTATTATTAAGGATGGTAATGTGTCGTTGTGGGTAACTACGCCTTGTAATAACAAAAGAAAATTGAAAAAGCTCTTCTATTGTTTTTTGAAACATTAGAAAATTTCTCTTTTATGTGATTGTATCGTTTAGTCTATCAAATTTAACATTAGGTACTACAATAATTTTATATCAAATCATAAATGGTAATCCTTGTTACGCAGAAAAAAAACTTCTTTTTGAATTAGTTAAAACAAAAAAATTTTGGAAACATCATAATTCAAAAACCATCAACAAATAATTAACGACTTATCATCATCATCAGCTACGGTCATCAGTCCTAAGACTGGTTGGACACACACCTCCACTTTTTCATATCCTGAACTGATTTTCGTATTTCCTTAAAACTAGAACATTCCATATCCTTTACTATTTGTGATCAGTAATCTAATCTAGGTCTACCTCAACTCCTGCTTCTGTTTCTAATATGTCTCTGACTAGACCTTCATGTCTGAGAAGGTGTCCTCTCAACCTACCTCGTCTATCTTTTATTTACTTTCATAGAGTCCTCTGTTCTCCTATTCCTTCTAATACCTCTTTATTTCTAACCTTCTCTATTTTCTCTTCTTTTTTCTCTTCCATCACGCTCAATGTTTATGTTTTGCACCCGTACAGCGCCGCGCTCCAAATATACACTTATAACGATATTTTTCGAATTTCTAAATTAATTGTTTGCGTGAACAGAAGTGACTTCTTTTTATTGAAGGCATCTGAACCCTGTGCTATGCTCTGTTTTTCATTTCTACTGCTTTTTATTACTATCATGAACTTTTGGAAGTAATGTTTTTTCTAACAACCCTAAAAAGAAGCAGTTTTTTCGATGCTACAGTCAGAAAAGTTTATGTATTTGTGTAGATGATGATTAACTCAACTTGGAAATTTTTTGGTTACAAAAAGGGAAAACGTCTAGAATAATCCACTGTGGTCATGCTCTTTTTTCCTGGAAAAAATAACTTGAGTACGTACTTTTATTTTCATTAGTGCTAGTAAATGACAAGGGCAGTAGTATATACTAAAAACATTAAACATTGAAGTTGAAATAAGTTCAAAGGGGAACGGGTTGGTTGTACAAAGGACGGGTCCTTTTCTCCTCTGCATTTTGTCTCATGAAAGCTTTGTGATGTAAAACTTAAAAAGAGAACGACCTGTTTTATTATTTCGTATGAGAATAGTTGAAGATGTATTTTAAAGCGGATGTACATGACAAGGAACCCGTGAATGTACGTATGTTATATAGTACAGTAGACTCTCTATATAACGATTCTCAAGGGACCGGATGTTTTCATCGTTATAGAGAGAGATCGTTATATAGAGAGAAATATTTTTTTAATCAAGTAATGCTTTAAAATAAAAGACCGTACTATGAACAATGAAAAAGCACAATGATAAAAAAGATAAATTGATATAAAAAATCACAAATAAAATTACATAATGCTTAATTAAAGAAGTCTTTCAATGTTGTTTGCTTTTTTTTGGTCTTCCAAAGCATAGACCTCACTTTATCTTCAAGACGCGAAGCATCCTCTGACGCAGTTGGCTCTTCTTCATGGTGAGCAAAGAATTTGCGGAGCACCTTAGCAGCCTCCAGGGCTTGTAGAGGGGTTGGGACTGGTTCCGGCTCTGGATCAATTTCCTCTTGCTCACTATCTTCGTCATCAACAACAACACGAACAGCATTCAGAATGTCCTCGTCTGAAACTCCTGCTGCTGTAGCCACTGTCTCGTCTATGTTTTCGTAATCCTGTAACTCCTCTGGCGTATAAGTTGTTGGAAGTTCCAACTGTTGGGCCCAAATAACTAGAGACAAGTCGTCTTCGTCTTCTGTTGGTACTGGGTCTTCCAGCCATCCTGTGTGCCTGAATGAGTGCTTTATTGTCTTCTCTGTCACCTCAGCCCATGCTCTGCTGATAATTTGTACAGCATCTAGGATAGTTGGCCTAAAATGTCCATTTGACTCCACCAGTTCCATTAGAAGTCTTCGCCTGTAATGACTTTTTAGACTTTTTATGACACTCTGGTCCATAGGCCTCTGTTGTGTTGGCTGGTAAAAATCCAAGTTCTATGTTCTGGAGATTGGGTATTGCAGGGTGAGCAGGGCAGTTGTCAACCAAGAGTAAAATTTTCTTGCCCTTCAACTCACAATCCCATTTTCGAATCTCTTCTTCAAAAATTTGAGACGTCATCCAAGCACTCTTATTTGCTTGGTAATTAACAGGCAGACGCTTAACATTTTTGAAGCAACGTGGATTCTTAGACTTGCCAATCACCAGAAGTTTTCTTTTTACTGAACCTGTCATGTTAGCTGCCACCAAAATTGTGATCCTTTCTTTTGATAATTTCCCTCCGATACATTTTTCTGACTTGAATTTCAAAGTTTTGTTTGGTGTCATCTTGTAAAATAATCCAGTTTCGTCAGCGTTAAAAATATCTTCTGGCGAATATCGAGCTGTCATACCAGGCCACACTTTTTGCAGCCAGTCGTCTGTAATGTTTTTGTCGACGTCACGAGCCTCTCCACTAATCTGCCCGTAATTTATGTTGTGACGCTGCTTCCACTTACTCAGCCAACCTTCAGATGCCTTAAAGTTAGCGATGCCAAGCTCCGTAGCATAAAATTCCGCCTTTGCTTTGATTACAGGTCCAGACAGTGGAATGTGGTTGTTACGCTGTTGTTTAAACCACTGTAGAATAGCGCGATCTAAATCGTCATACTGAGGTTTACGAATCTTTTTCTTGGTTCCCATTTCTATTCCCGCATCAAGCCACTTTTTCCTATCCTTCCAAATTGTAGCCACAGTCGACTGGGAAATCCCCGTACGTCGAACAACATCTGTTTGTTTTTCGCCATTTTCTATTGATTTGATGAAAGAAATCTTTTCTTCGACAGTGAGCACCTTACGCTTTGTTGGAAGCATTTCAATTGTACACACACAAAAGTTCAATTTACTGTAAACACGCAACACTAAAACAATTGATAGAGGCGGTAGGCGCTCAATGCCACACGTCACTATGGCCTAAAACGGGAAACAAAAGACGTTGAGTATTGAACTGATCGTTGGGCGAGTTAAGTTGAAAATAAACACCCGCTCATTATTTTAAAATTGACATGTAAACAAACACAATTGTTCTGAAAACATCGTTATAGAGAGAGCGATATCGTTATACAGAGAGTAAATTACATTGTTCTTATGTTAGACCAAACATCGGTGTTAAAGTACATCGTTATAGGGGAATTATCGTTATAGGGAGAATCGTTATAGAGAGAGACTACTGTATTTGAAAATTATTGGCATACAACTATGGGCATATGTATCGATCGTCTCAAAAATTGCGTACCAATTACCGAATAAGAGATTATTTAGGAAGGAAGGAAATTTGAAGATACATAAAATGTCAAAGAAAACCAAAGCATGGTGTCTAAATAAAAAAAAACCACGTGCTAAAGCCACGAGGCTTGATAAATAGGTATAATTGAATATTGTAATTTATTTTCCAGAAAAACGAAGCAGACTACCTAAATGGAAAACATTTTTTTATAACGAGTTTCGGTGTTCGCGTTCTTAAAAAACTCTTCTGAGGGAAATGAAATTCTACTAACAGAGAAATCAAAACACATAATAGCAGTTAGCACTTTGAACAGCTGCTTCTATTTATTTTCTATATAATTATTATTGTTGAATTTCGTTTACGAAACGGGGAAAGTCCCAGAGGATTATAAACGGAACGTGGTAGTAACGATACCTAAAAAGAGAGATGCGGATAGGTGCATGACATTTAGAATAATTAACTTACCTAATGCGTCAAAAATTAAAAACTAGAATTGTACACAGAAGGATGGAAAAAAGGGCGGAAGAACTATTAAGGGAAGATCAATTTGAGTATAAAAGAGATAGAGGAACCCGGGAGGCCATTTTAGCTTTACGGGTAACAATAGAGAAAACGATAGAAAAGGGAATGAGTGCACTCATTCCCTTTTCTATCGCATGCGTATTTAGGATTTACAGATTTGAATAACGCTTTTGATTATGTTAAATGGGACACGATATTAAATATACTTAAAAATTTAGGGATAAGTTACAGAGCTGTAAGTTTGTATAAAGAGCAACAGGCAGTTGATACAGCAGTATTAGCATCTAGCAAAGAGGAGTTAGAGACAGCTTTAAATAAAATGGAATTGGTATTGAAGAAGTGGCTGATTTTAGGTATCTAGGAAGTCAGATATGTCAGGACGGAAGGAGTAGTAGGGATATAAAGCAGAGGATAGCGCAGGGTAGAGTCGCCTTCGATAAAAAAAGTCACTTCTATTCTCGCGAACGGTTAATTTAGAAGATTGTTAAAGTTGTATGTTTGGAGAGCGGCACTGTACGGGTGCGAAAGATGGACGGTGAGCGCGGCGGAAAGAAAAAGTTAAAAGAGTTAGAAATGTGACGTTACAGGCAAATGATGAGGATATCGAGGATAAAGAAGGTAAGAAATGAAGAGGTATTAGAAACAATAGGAGAACAGAGGACTCTGTGGAAATCAATAAGGAATAGACATGAAGGGCGAGTTAGACACATATTAGAGGCAGAAACAGGAGTTAGGAGGAGTAGAGGTAGACCTAGATTAGATTATTATTCACAAATAGTTAAGGATGTGGCATGTTCTAGTTTTAGGGAAAAGCGAAGATTAGCTCAGAATAAGAAAGAGTGGACATGCGTGTCTAACCAGTCTTAGGACTGACGACCTTATGATGATGATTTCGTTTAATCAAATATATAACAAAACTACCAGAGAAAACGGACAAGAAAAAGATTAATTTTAATTACCAATAAGAAACAACACTAAATGTAACTTACAATTTACAAAAAACAAAACCAACCCTTCTACTCTCAGAACAATTTAAATCATGGCTTGTAATACACGGCATACTGAGGCTCAGGATAATGGTACTTTTGTCATTATCCTGTTATCAATCCCTTTTTGACGATTGAACCCTGAGGTTGACGAATTGATGCCTTTTTAGATTGTCCGCTAATGTTACTTTATTCACCAACAAAATTAAAGTTGATTTGAGATTCATGTTTATTAGTAGTAGATAAATAATTGATTATCAGTCAATTTTTTATTTAATCAACGACTTATTTACAGTCTGGATTGGTCATTAATCTTGTTGAGCTTTTTATTTTATTAATGATGGCGATTTTGCAATTGAGTGACGGATAAAGCGATGATCCGATATTGGAAGAAACGCGATCATTAATATTGTCCCTCACGATTACTCTCAAAGTTGAAATTCATATTAGGGTGCAAAATAAGATGAGAAAGCATATCCTACAACAATGCCATCATCGGTCGGTTGATTTCGTCGTAAACAAATTATTTTACAGTAAAAGACGACTTGCAAAATTCAGTCATTAAACTGAGTTGTCATACCATATTAAATGACGAAAACACGACCGCCGGAAAATGTACTGAGATCAAGAAAAAGCAAATTTCCTTTACACAATCAGAAGATCTTTAAAAATTCAATATTTATTGACGTGACAACGTCTTATAATTCGATGGAGCCGACTGTACGCACGAAAAAACATGACTCATGCGGCGTTACCTCGCTGTGAGGAGTTCCATTTAAGGCTTGAAGTGCAAGCGAGAGAGCGGAACGAGCGACAAAGAGGCACAATCGGCCTCCGCGTTCGGCAGCGTTCGACATCTGTCTCTCTCCTACTTGAGTGAGCGAAGCGTCCGCGTGGACAGCTGCTATACAGTAATACATTTCCATTTACCTCTTTACGTCTTATAATTCGATGGAGCCGACTGTACGCACGAAAAAACATGACTCATGCGGCGTTACCTCGCTCTGAGGCATTCCATTTAAGGCTTAAAGTGCAAGCGAGAGAGCGGAACGAGCGACAAAGAGGCACAATCGGCCTCCGCGTTCGGCAGCGTTCGACATCTGTCTCTCTCCTACTTGAGTGAGCGATGCGTCCGCGTGGACAGCTGCTATA